GGAACAGAGAAATAAATTAGATTTCATCAAAATATTTTTTAAAAAGACAACTATTATAGACTCTTGGGCACTTTCAAGAAAGAGAAAAGATAATTCAGAAAATAGCTGAAAATATTCACAAATCATATATCAGAAAATAGTCTATAATGCAGAATATATACAATATACGACACCCCCACCAAAAAAAAAACCTTTAGAATAACTACAGAAACCATTTAAGTAGTTTGAGTATACCAGGCAAGCCCAAAGCCAAGAATAGGTGCACTGAAATGAGGTAAGAAAAGTTGTCTTATTTCACTTACATCAGCCCCCTTCCCAAGCTTGCACACCTTACTGCAACTGGGAAGAAAAGCCCAACTGGCAGCTTTTTTCTTTGGTAGCGAAAGACAACAATGAAATGTGCATCCAATGTTCCAGTTTCTCAAGGGTCTGTCAGAGAGACTGGTTTCTGCCTCCCCTGACTCAGAGACCTGACAGAACCAGCATATGTATGTCCACTGTTCTGGTTTTCTAGGGGGCTGCCCAGGGACTGTTTTTTCTTTCCTGACTTGGAACAATGACAGACCTAGTGCACTTTGGGTGTCTGGGGGCTGCTGAAAATAAAAGAATGCTTAGCAGTTTATTGTAGTGCCTGAGTACTTCTCATAAGCAGACTAATATTGGAAGGTAAGATAGTAAAATCTCTTGAAAAAGAAACCAGTGAACCTCCCTAATTAGGAGAGTACCGCTGAAGCCCAAGAAGATGCATCCCCATAAAAGGTTTGAGAGATCCCCAGAATGTTTAGCCAGGCTGATATGTGAAGGTCTTTCCCTATACAAAAACAGTTCATAAAGACTGAGAGAGGTAGTTGTTTTTTCAAGTGCACACATCACAAGAATAATAATAACTGCAGCATAAGAAAAACTAAAATAAATATTCAAACACTGACCCTAAAGAAATGGAGATCTGTGAATTACCTGACAAAGTATTCAAAATAGTCATCTTAAAGAAGTTCAAAGCACTACAAGACAATACAGATAGACAATTAAACAAAATCAGGAAAAAGGTTCATAAACAACATGAAAATATCAACAGATAGAAACTTTTTAGAAAAAAATAAAAATTCTGGCTGAAGAATCAAAAAACTCACTAGAAAGAATAAACAACAGATTTGATCAAGCAGAAGAAAGAAACAGGAAACCTGAAGAAAGTTCATTTGGTATTATGGAGTCAGGTTACTACAGTATCCATACAGTATGGTACTGACATAAAGAGACATACAGAGGAATGTAACTGAATAGAGACTCCATAAATAAATCTTCATGTATATTGTCAAATGATGTTTGACATATGTCAACACTATGCAACACTGTTTGTTAAATATTCTCTTTAACAAATGGTGATGGGAAAACTGGACATCATTATGTAAGAGAATGAAGTTGGACTCTTACATTATACTTTATATAAAAACTAACTCAAAGTGGATTAAAGATCTAAACGTAAGACCTGAAATTTTTTAAATCCTAGAAAAAAACATAAGAGAAAATCCTCATTAATTTCATTTGTAAATAATTTCTTGGATATGACACGAGTAACACAGGCAAAAAAGCAAAAAAAAAAAACAGACAAATGAAACTACATTAAACTTAAGAACTTCTGTGCAGCAAGGAAACAAACAGCAGAGGGAAAAGGAAATCTGTGAAATGTGACAACATACTTGCAAATCATATATCTGATAAGGAACAATATCCAGAATATATAAGGAAGTCTTTCAACTCAACAGAAAAAATAATCTAATTACAAATAGGTAAAGGACTTGGATAGACATTTCCCCTAAGAAGTTATGTAAATAGCCAACAAGCACATGAAAAGATGGTCAAGCTTACTGGTTATCAGGAAAATGCAAATCAAAACCACAATGAATATCACGTCACACATGTTATGATGGCCACTATCAAAAAAAGAAAAGAAAAGAAAGAAAACAGAACCAATGTTGGTGAAGATGTAGAAAACTGGAACACTTATGCTTTCTTAGTAAGAATGTAAAATGGTACAACCTCTACGCAAAAGACTATAATTTCCTCAAAAAATTAATGACAGAATTATCATATAACTCAGCAATCATACTTCTTGGTATATGTATCCAAAAGAAGGGAAAACATATTCTGGAAGAGATATTTGCACGCCCATGTTCACTGTAGCATTATTCATAATAGCCAGTAAGTAGAAGCAGCCTAAATCTTCATAGACAGTTGAATGGATAAAAAAAAAAACAAGGCATATACATATAATAGAATGTTATTCAGCCTCCGAAAAGAAAGAAATCATGTCATATACTACAACATAGATGAATCTTGAGGAAATTGTGCTGTGAAATAAACCAGTAACAAACAGTCACACTGCATGGTTCTGCTTATATGAAGTATCTAAAGTAGTTGAACTCACAGGAGTAAAAAGTGTAATGATTCAAGGTGGTAAGAGGAAAGGGAAGTGACGAACTGTTGATCAGTAGGTATAGTTTCAACTTTGTAAAATGAAAATGTTCTAGAGATCTACTGCACAACAATGTGAATACATTAAGCTCTGCTGAACTGTACCCTTAAAAATCATTAATACGGTAAAGTTTACATTGTATATTTCTACCACAATTAAAACAATTTTAAAAAGTGGTCAAACTCTTAGAAAATACAATAGTGGTTACCAGTGATGGGGAAGAGAATGGAAAGGGCAGTTGTTCAATGGATATAGAGTGCTAGTATTGCAAGATGAAAAAGTTCTAGAGATCTGTTACACAACAATGTGTATATATTTAACACTAATGTACTGTACACTTAAAAATGGTTAAAGTGGTTATTATGTGTTTTTAGCCATAATAATAAAATAAGAATGGGTGTTGCTTTTTCTCATAAATTGGTAGGATGACATAATTCTTTTTCTTTAACCTGTCAGTCTGGTATTTACACTGGTTGATCATTGAGTACTGAAGCAGCCTTGCACCTTAAGAATTAACCTCACTTGACCATAGTGTGTAATTTTTAACATTTATTGTTTAATTTTGTCATTTTTAAAGCATTTTTATGTCTACATTCATAAGTGATATTATTTTATAGAATTTGTTGTTCTGTCTTTCTCTAGTTTGTGTATTGGAGTAACACTAGGTTTATGAAAATGATTTTGAAATATTCCCTTGCCTTTTATTTCTTGTCAGATATTGCATAAAATTGGTGTCAATTCTTCTTTAAATATTTGATAGAGTTCTCTAATGAAACTGCCAGGCCCTGCAGATTACTTTTTTTTAGTAGAAATTCATTTTCCCTAATAGTTCCAAAGTTATTCAAATTACTTCTTTAATATTAAGTAAGTTGTAGTCACTTATTTTCTGAGGAATTGATTCATTTTATCTTAGTTGTTAAATTTATTTGTTTAGAGTTGTTCATAGTATTTCCTTATTCTTTAATGTCTCCACAGTCCAACATGATATCCCATTTCACTCTTGGTATTAACTGTTTCTTCTTTTTTCCTTGTCAAAATTGCTAGAGATTTGTAAATTTTCTTTTCAAGTACCAAGCTAGATGCTTTGTTGGTTTTCTATTTATTTTTCTGTTTTCAATTTCATGATTTCTTTTCTCATCTTTATTATTTCATTCCTTCTACCTGCTTTGGAAAATATTCTTAGTCTTTTTTATAGATTCTTGAGGTGGGAGCATAGATTATTGCTTGGAGAACTTTTCCTTTTTCCTAACTTATGTAGTTACTACTCAAACATATTCTTTCAACAATACTTTAGTGTGTTCCAGAAATTTTGATAATGAATTTACTTTTATTCAATCAATGTATTTTTTAAATTACCCTTGAGGCTTTCTCTTTGACTTATGGATTATTTAAAGTGTCTTGCTTAGTTTTCAGGTGTTTGCAGATTTTCTTGTTATCTTTTGTTATTGCTTTATTGTTTGATCCTGTGTAGTTGGAAAATACATAGTATATGCATTCAATTCTTTTTAAATGTTTTTTGGCTCAGAATAGGTCTTTCTTGGTATATGTTCCATGGGCACTTGAAAAATAATATGTGTTTTGATATTGGTGGGTAGATTATTCAATAATTGTCCATTAGATTCTGTTGATTGGTGATATAGTTGAGTTTTTCTATATCCTTGTGATTTTCTGTGCAGCTTACCTTTATTTCATTCATAGTTGACCTTAATATTTCTTCAACATAAGCTTAGAACCACAATAGAGTTATAAATTTTTCTTCAATAGCCAAAACATATTTTATAAAACTAAAGATGAAAAAAAATTTATTGTTTTTATCCATTTCTTTTTTGCTTACTCTGTTCTTCTTTCCATATTACAAGGTTTCTTCACTTATATAATTACTATTTGGATAATTTTCTTTGGACATTCAGTTGTTTTCTAGAGGAGAGAAAATCAGATGACTAACTTACTACCAAACTACAATCCAGAGGCTGAAATCTCATTATACTATTGACCACATAGGGTATTTACTAAATTTTCCATCAGCAAAATGATATTGAGAAAATAAAGAAATTTTGGTAATGATGAGAAAAATACAGCATATATTTTCCTGAAGGAACTATCAACTGTCTTTCAATTAGATATTCAAATCACCATTTGAAAAAAAGACACTGGAATCTGGCAGCAAATTATCTCTTTCTGATTTATTCATTTCTTTTGATAATTTACTCAACTTATCATTATCTTTTGTCCATGGAAATTTGAGTTAATGATGAGACTAATCCTCCACAGGGATGAAGATGTGAAAACTCATAGGGTGTGAGGGGCCATTCCAGTGATTTGGGAATTCCAAAGACATTTAATGTCCCACTCAGCTTCTTCCCTTTCCATGACCAAAATTGTACTCTTAAAATGTATCATTAGACTCTGATTAAAGAGCCAATGATTTCCTTCTCTCCTTCTTCCATCTCTTCCACTAAAATATCCCATTCATGCTCCGTGGTATTTGGTACCCATAGAGCCTGAAAAGGATCCTTACGATGCAGTCTCATATCTGCTTCGTTTTCACCCCAAAGACAACAGGGTTCATAATGGGAGGCAAGAGCAGGTAGATATTGGCCACGATGATGTGGCAAGATGGAGGAATTGTATGGCTCCCAAAGTGATTTAAAAAGAAACAAAATAAGGCAGGACTGTAGGAGAAAACAATAGCACAGATGGGCAGTACAGGTGGGCAGTGCAGGTGCTGAAGGCCTTCTGCCGAGTGCCTGCTGAGGATAAGTTGACCACTGCCCAGAGTATCATGGTGTAGGAGACTGTGATGCACAGGATGTCAAAGCCCCTGATCAGGAAGACAGTCGTCAGACCATAGATAACATTGGCCTTGATATTTCCACAGGATAATTTGGCTACAGATAGCTGGTCACAGTAGGTGTGGGGAATTATATTTCCTCTGCAGTAGGGCAGGTGATTGGTAAGGAAAATCAAGGGTATGATGAGCAACACTGCTCTCAGGAAAGTTGCAAGCCCAGCCTTTGCAATGACAGGTTGGGTGAGGATAGCTGAGTAGTGCAGAGGATAACATATGGCCATGTAGCAGTTCAGGGCCATAAGCATGAGCACCCCAGACTCCATCTCTGTGGAGGTATGGACCAGGAACATCTGGATTAGGCATTCTTCAAATTTGATTTCTTTGAGATGAAAACACAAGATGCAGAGAGATTTAGGGATTGTACTAGAGCACACGACAAGGTGAGTAAAGGAGAGCATAGCCAAAAAATAATTCATTCAACAAACATGAATAAGGCTGGTGTCACATCTGTTTGGTTCAGAATTATCATGACTAAGTAGGTATGATCAATAAGAAGCTTGTAGCATTTTATTTTTATTTTTATTTTCTTTGGTTTTTTGACCCTCCCAGGTTTGGAAAAATAGAAGAAAAAAAAAACTCAGCTGTAATTTCTTTTTTTCTCAGTCTCTTCTCCCTGTTAAATACTGCATTTTAATATCCAAATTTTAAGAACCAAAATGCTGGGAGATGTTTGCTTAAGTGTGGTTTAAACCAAATATGCAGTGTTTGTTAATTTACTGACTTACTAATTCATTCAACAAACATGTATTTAGTACTCACTATGTGCCAGGTTCTCTGATAAATACTGTCTACATTATTTTAAGACAAAAGGCCATAGATACAATCTTCATAAATTTATAATCAGGTGTAATTATATTATGATCTTTCTGATTGATATTTATATATTTATATCTTATTTAAATGTTGATTATCATACAGGTTTCCCTTTGGGTGTTTTCTTACAGTAAATCTCAACTGACATGATTAGGACCTCTTTATTATTGTACTTACTCTTCATAGTAGTTCATATTTATGCTTACTATGTACCAGGTACAGTTCTAAGAATTTTATAAATATTAATTCATTTAATCCTCACTACAAGCCCAATAAGTATTTTTATTAGCCTGCATTTTATAAGTGAGTAAATGGAGGCCATACGTAGATGAGGCTTCCTTATGTATGAATTTCAAAGGCATTGTCAATCCCCTAGCTGCAGATAGATATTAAGACCCTATTTTTTTAATCCTTCTCAGATGAACTCTTCCTTCTCCTTTTTTTCATGTATTTGTCTTTATGGCTCTGGATTTAAGAACATTTTTAAACTTGTATACTTTCAAATTTAATGGTAATGATATGATGGTAGAGGTATATGTGTACATATATGTCTTTTATTGGATAGGCATTTATTGGGCTTTTGTGTCTGGAAATCCATGACACAATGTCATTCAATGTTGGGAATTTTCTTGTATGAACTTTTAGTAATTTCTTCCCAACTGTTATTTTACTCCAGTTACTTTTAGTCAGCTATTGGATCTCTGGGGCTTACTCTTTTCATTTTAAAAATTATATTGCATCTCTATTTTTTGATCCACTTTATAGAAAAATTCCGGAACTCTACCTCCCAAATATCATGGCTTTTTTTTGTTGTTGTCTAATATTAAAATTTCCAAGATCATATTTTTCTCTGAATCTTGTGAATCTGACAATAATATATGTATATATGCTATGCATATGCTTCTTGTATTTCTACAGCATCTGTTTCAATTATTTATTTTTTATATCTTTCTTTTTTCTTTTACTTTGAAATAGTTTCTCAAATATTCAGTAATCCTGTACTATCATTTGCACCTAAGAAAGAGTTACAGAATCAGCTACAGAAAGCTGATTCAAAACTCTACGTGATGAATGAATCTTATCCATCTGTAGAATTTCTCAAAGTGTTCAAGTAGGGACTCAGCTTCATTGGAGACATTTTTAGTTAACAGCATTGATAGGCTTTTCTCCCTCAGGGATTTTCAGTTTTTTCAGAGAAGTACTCATTCATCTGTATACTGGCGGGTTATATATGGGCTGCCAGTGTTCTTGGAGTCAGGTAGTGGAAAAGTACAGAGGATCTTATACTTAAATAAAAATATTGGATTCAATCCTCCTGTTTTTTATGAATCTTCACCCTTGGCCTTCATCACACCTGATATATATGCATTCATATTATGAAAGTGGATTCCTGGAATATACCACCAGTCATCATAAGAGGACAGTTCACATTGTTTAGAACAGTGGTTGAATCAGAGCAAGTTGTTACTTATCCAGTTTTTCTACCTACAAGCTTGTTTCATCTTTATGTATTTGCACCAAAGGAAGACAGATTAAATTCTGCAAAAGACAACTTTTTTGGAAATAGTAAGGGCAGCATAGGTTGAACATGTTCATAACAGTGATCTTCAAAGCTCTCTTCTTAACACCATTACAAAAATCTTAAAGTCATATAGAAGCAGATAGAAATGACAACTAATTAAATTTTGATCAGGAAAAGTTTCTAAAAGAAATGGACAATTGTTCTTTTTTTTGAATGGACGGTTGTTATTTTTTTCTTTTTGAGTGGACAATTGTTCTTAAACCTGGAGCACTTAGGTTACTGACAGGCCAAAATGGGCAGGGCTGTGTTCTCTCTTGTTGCTGATCACTGTTTCCTACTTAAATCATACTGATATTATTAAGCCTCATAATTTTGCAATTTTCTTTCCTTTTTGCGTCCCCACAAAATAGCCTCTAGTATAACATTTCAGGAAAATTCAGTCCTCTCTTAAACAGATTAGAGAGCCAACCTCTAAAGCCTCTTAATATATTGTTAATTAGTCAAGTATCAAGCTTACAGTTAAGGAATAGATTTTTTGGTAGAATCAACTTCTTTTTCTATTTTAACATCATGGCATTATAAATTATGGTATTATTATACTCTTAACATCATCAGCAATTTAATAAAACCCTTATATTAAGACAGATTGTAAAAAAACCCTTATATTAAGACAGATTGTATTTTTACCTACAGCGTATAGCAAGTTATCAATAAATATTTTTGAATGGAGAACTGATTAAATGAAATAATAAACCATAGTTTTTACTTGACTTTAAGCATTATTAAATTAAATGCTGTAGTCTAAATATTATTACTTGGAAAGCACAAGGGAACAACCAGAAGAAAAAAAACATAACATCTACTTCATAAATCACCAGAATTCACAAATTTCAAAAAGAAATTATAAAATAGAGAAAGCAAAGGAAATCCCAAGAAAGCAGAAAAAATAATGTACTAAGCAAAATAAATTTATTGGTTTGAAAAATAAATAAGGATCAGTTACTCAAACTACACAACAAATTGGTCTTAATTCAGAATGATTTTTTAAAAGTATCCATATTTAAAAAAAGAGGTATGTCTGAAGAAAAAAGACCACACTCAAAGTATGCACACAATTTTTTTATAAACAGAAAACATACTAAAAATTTGTGAGGAAATATTAATTTCAGACAACATAGAAACAAAACAAAGAAAATGTTGGATCACCATCACTTTTGGGAAAAATAAAAGGAAGACTTGACACAGTGTAATTAATGTTGATATACCAAACTGTTTCATCTGTAGGTTTAGCAACATTTTTCCACAACCAAAACTTTAGAGAATAGTGAGATAATACTCTTGGACTGCATTAGTGCAGAGAAGTTTTAAAAATGGGGCAATCACTCAAATCATATCTCCACTTATTATCAGATACTCAATTTCTTATTTTAGCGTCATTGGCGGGGCCTTCAACTAATAATGGAAAGCTAACAAAAGCCTTACAATTTGCATTTTGGTAAAAAAGAACATTATGGGTTTACAGTATAAGAATTTTTGTTTGCATGAATACCAAAATTTCCATCAGGTTTCTATTGGTCAGGTTTATAAATATGTACTTTATCTTTGAATACACATAATATTTTTTTATATTTCTTTCACAGATATCATTATAAGAAAGAAAAAAGTTATAAAATCATATATATGTATATATGTGCATGTATATTTAACCATATATATGATTGCCATTAAAATAAAATAGACATTAAAGTTTATTTTTGATAAATATTTGGCTAGTGTATAACAAATTGTCATAAGGTGTTGAATAAAATTAATCACTACTCATTTCTCCTTCTTAATACATTCAAATAGCCAACTCTTAACTCTGTATCCATGTAACAGAAGCAAGTAGATCAATTAGGAAAGTATAGGTATCCATATTTTGAAATAGGCAATACATTTCTGGTATAGTTGTGCTATATTCTGAAGACTTTTCCTATACATGAGATAAAGATCTTGTTTATATCCCTTGAGTTTTCTTTTATAGTTATATCTTTAGTTTTAATACAGACTTTCCTGTTACAAAATAATCTTAGGTCCCATTTTCAATACATCTGCAAAATATTCAGTGATCCATACTTCTAAGAAGGTAATACAGTATTAAACAAAATAAATACGAATTTTCCAGAACAAATTTAAAATTATTCCAATATATTATAATTTAATTTTTCTCACAAAGAAAGTTAACTATGTTGTGGGTGTGGGCAGCTGTCTTGGAATAGTAACATTAGCAAATGAATGTAAACATTTATAAAGTGCAATTTTGATATCATATGTTATCTATTGTCATTCCCAAACCCCATAGACAGTAAGTGTTTTGTTTTCTCACTAGACTGTCCTCAGTTTTTAAAACCCATGGTCTTCTCTCTGTATGACAATGTGTCCCTCCAGGCAAGCATTATCTAAAATTAATGAAATACAGTCTTAACTAAGTCTCCCTAGAAATGATCCAAGTACATTAGACTCATTCAGAGGAAAAATGTGAGGGCAGGTAAGAAGCAAGAGTGTCCAACCAAGACCAGGAACCCTGCTCTAGCTGTCCCAGTTCTTCTCGTCATGAGGCTGATTCCTAGCCGACCTCCACTACAACAGAACCAAGAGTTCCTACTCAGTAGAAAAACAACATTGATGTTCATTATCATAATGGAAAGTTGCACTGAATTGTACTCTGAGAATTGGAGAATTAAACAATTTCTAACCTCTCACAACACTTTTGCCTTCAAACATGGTAAATAGAATCTGATCTCTGTTTTTGAGAATATTGTAATTCCTATGCATTTAAAACAGCTCTCTACTTTATCATTCTGCTTTAAGAAAAACCCTGCCAGTAGTCTCACTTTGGTGTGTCCTTTAATACCTTAGTTACTGGATAACAAAACAGCGAGCTCAATGCAATCTGATGCAGGTGTTCAGGATCTTGATCAAAAAACATCACAATTCTACAATATATGTACATGCACAGCCCTCAATTTCTAAATCCTGAGATATCTAGACTATTGAACTGGGTGTTTAAGAAAAATGTATATATCCCAAGGGGATGCTTTG